AAAAAAAAAATTGCAAACTGGAATGTACCTTATTTATTAGATGCTTATTTTGCATTTGGATTGTTGGGATATTTCTGCATATTGTCTTTAATTACTAGTGTGTCTTAGGGGAGCTGCAGTTTACTTGGCTTATGACAAAACTCCTTCTCTGGTGTGGACTTTGTGATTGGATTGTGTCTTAATCATCCCTGAGTGATCCGAATTTCTTTACATTGGTAAAAATTGAATGAAATAATTTGGGTAGGCTACAAAAGACCAAGAAAGCATAATTTCCTTAAAACATAACTTAACTTTTAGAAGACACAATGAGGAGCTTAGTGCCCACTGTGGTACACCAAACAAAATGGCTTGAATCAAATCTTCATCCCAAAGTAAAATATTTATTATGCTACAGTTCAAAAAAGATGTTTAGATGTTTCCAAACCCCTTCTTTCTTTTTAATTTAATTTAATTTAATATCTTACTTTTCAGGCTAATTTGATGGGTTGAGAAGCTTTTAAAATATTATGATATTAAATTTACAATATCATAATTTCTAGTGGGATAAAAATCACAGTTTTCACCAGCTGCTAATAGCCTCTGGAGACATTCAGGCTGATGAGGTTTGTGATTCCAAACAGCTGTAGATGAAAATATGAGAAACAGTTGACAATAATTAAATAATACAAATGTAAAATCACAAATCTGAGACAAGCACATAATTGTCATGGTATCATTTCATATGATTTTTATGTGATATTAAATACCATTAAATTGTAATACTCTTAGCAAAGACAAAATAGGAACATACTAATCTGCATATTTATATTTCAGGCAGTAAAGGAATTAAATAACATCGTATTAAGTTAGCACAAACAAAGTTCTGAAGATGTTCTCTTTTTTAAATGTGAAACTGATTAGCTGAAAATAAGCAAATTTATTGAGTTCACCCAGAAATTTAAGGGGAACAATTCACAGAAATGACACAATTGTAACCCCTCTTTGTGTGTATTAATTACCTCAGAGCAAGATGTGGAATTTTGAAGTGTACCTGTAATTAAACATATTTGCTGAAAAACTCTAAATCTGCAGTTTATTTGCGAAAGCTTTATATACAAGTTCAATATTCAAAATTCAAGCTGCTTGATTAGGTCAGTAGGTGCATGTTTCTATCTCAGAAGCTTGATTCTTTATATCAAAATTTTGATATGAATAATTAAGACTTTGAATTTTGCAAATACTCTTCTCACTAATATGCTCAAAATTCATCAAATATTATTGTTAGTATCTCTATTCACCAGAATAGTTACAGAAAGAAAACAATACCCTGTTCAAATTACTTAAGTGTCTACATACCTTTCCAGTGAAAGGAAACCTGGTTGATAAACAGAATCTGACATCATAAAAGAACAAATTATTTACTTTCTCAGCCTTTGAAGGAAGAATGATATTAATATCCTTGCAATATATGTAAATACCTTAAATGCATATATGTAACATATGTTGCTACTTTTACATATTTTTTTTAACAAAACTCACTGTTTATCTAAATTTAAAATATAAAAATAAAGTGTATTGACTTGTGGAGCTTGACATATTAGATTATCTGCATTATTTTGATCCATAACTTGGAAGATATCTTTTTGCATTTTTCAGCTGCTAAGCTATACACTAATATGGGAAACTGCTTACCCAAGCTTTTTTTACAGTGCCTCAGAAAATACTAACAAAACAATTAAACCATTGCCTCAATGGGAATTGCAGTGTATACAGATAATAAATATATGGAGCTTATTTTTTTAAATCTTCATTGTCTGAGTTGCTTTCCTTTTACTGGCAGGCTTATAGAACTACAAAAGTCATGAAAACTCAATGCTAACTTAAAAGTGCAACGTCTGTTACTTTAATATTTTTATACTGAGTATCAAGGCATTGTTCACAGTAGATAATGAAATGGAGATGGGGCAGGAAACATACCTCTGAAAGACTTTCTACACAAAAGGATGAACACGTAGTTATTTGCACAAAGCATTAGAAAATACCGTGATATTTTATTATTAAAAATGCTGCTGAAAAGTTTATACATATGTGTCCAGCCATATATATCTTCTATCATTACTTAAGGCAAAAAAAACCAAAAAATTGCAAAACAATAACAGAAGAAACCATTGAACCCTGTGTGCCTCTTAAGGACAAGAATATAAGCCTGGGAAAGTACTTTTGTTTTTCTTTTACAGTTTCAAAGTATATTTTGATATCATTATTATAGAATTCTATGAAGACCCTATAAATCTGTTCCCTCTATAAATCATACATCAGTCCAGATGTATCAAATTATTAAATCAACTTGATTGTAATTACTTTTAAAAGCTAAAATCATTCACTTACAGGAACTTTTTTTACCCAAATGTCACAAGCCTGACACAGTACTGTACATATTGCTAGCAGAAGACAATTGGAAGTACTAAACAAATACTGTAATTCACATTACAAACATACCCAACTGATTATGATGCCAAGCATCATTACCTTTTTTTTTACTTTTTTTTTTTTTTTTTTTTTTTTTTTTTTTTTTTTTAATTTTTTTTTAGGTTTTAAAACTCCCTGTCTCTCCGCTGGGG